GCTGAAACCGCGTTGAAACCACGTCAGGTTCACGCAGGTGAATCGACGACGACGAGGAAGCAGGCGCGGCGGAGTCTTTCGCGGTAAGGATAGTGGGCTTATCGTCCCGATCGTAAATTGCCGCATTCCGATAGAAATCGGGCGGTGGCCCGATTATCTCCCTCCGTTATCGGGCGAATCGCGGCTCGCCTTCGCCCCGGATCGCGAAATGCAAATTGACCAATTACGAGGCGCAACGTGCACGTCGACACCACGCACGTTGGTTTATCTTGCCTTATTCTCAGTCTTTTTTGAAAGTATGCAGAAAGACATCGGCTGGGTTTTGGAAGTTAATGTAGTATTTTGCAAAATCTCACGAATAGTGCGGAGAACTTCCGAAAGTCGAAACGTTTATCCTACTTTTGATCTCAATATTCCACTTAACGCCTACTTCAATATTTTGAAGTCTGTATCAACTTCTTTTGATTCTATTAAATTGCTAATTCTGCCGAGATAAGTCCTCTTTAGAACCTACACCATTTTGTACGTTTTCTGCCTTTTAAAGATGCTAAGTAGGATATCAGTTTCCATGTATATCAAACACATATTGATCCTTCAAAACATGTAGTTGTTAGAAGATTCAGGTCAAAATGTAGCAAGGCTAAAATTTCGACTCGGGTTATTATATGTAGACGATTGAAATTCGAGCATTGATGTTCCTGTGTCCTTGCCGCGATCATTTTGATCAAAGACGATCAGAAGCGAGAAAACGTATGCCCAAAATTCTAGCAACATACATTGAAGTAAAAAGTTACATCCACAAAATGATACTTGTGATCAATCGAACATATCTGTAAAATATGCCAAAAACTTTCCTTCTACTCTAACAGTCCAATAAATAGTCGCAAAATTAATATGACAAAATTATAAAGAAAAGGAGGCTAAAATAAAAAGTTGCATGTCACGTTAATTTTACAGTTAATTATTGTTAGATTGATTAATTATTGATTGATTGTTAAAATAAAAAGAAAAAGTTCCCGAAATATTTCGCAAATATATTCAATCAATTCCAAAAATCACTCTGTGGACATTTCGAGTCAAAATTTTGGTCCTATGTTAAACCTTGAATTCTACAACACAGTGGGAGCTAAGTTAGCAAAGTAGGTTTAATTTTAATGATACAATTTACTCCTACTTTGATTCTAATGCTCGAAACTTTCTTTAGCGTCAAAATAGATGTTGAATAGAATAGTGAGATTGACAGTAAAATCAAAATTTCGACTCGGGTAGGTTAAATAAAATCAAAAAAGGTTGATGTAGGTTTCAGAGTATTAAAAAAGTGTTGAATGAAATAGTAAAACTATTAAAGTAGGATCAAAATTTCGACTCGTGCTTGCACGAGAATTTGGCTATGTATATTCTCGCATCTAACGTCATCAATCGAAAGTTCCGCGACAGGGAGAGACTTGGAAGGCTAAAAAGCTACTTTTACAAGCGCTTTTAGTGATAAAGAAGAATTGAGAATATAGATCTTAATGTGAATCTTAGATTTAAACAGTCATGAACATTCAAAAGTTTCGAGAATGATGTTACATGGCCGCGCGTATCGCACGTCGCGTTACAAGCGGCGCTCTTTTGTAATTTAAGCGTTCGCTCGGTAATTACACCGATTGCTCATAATTATACGACGCACATACAATTGAATGAGCAATTGCGCGGCAATATGCTGGAAGGTCATAAGCAAAGTGGCACAATTTCCGGCTCACTATTACATTTGTCATTAATCAAAGCGAGAAATACACTTTAGGGACGGCATTACACGTTTGGGGGAATCATAAATTCTGATTGGCCGCGGAGTTCACTGTAATTACGCTACGCTCGAGCCGATCTGCTTTCGAAGAAATGCAATTACACGCACACGTGTTGCATCGGCGCAGCAGTAAGCTCGGGTTTTGCGCTTTTTCATTTCTTCACGATGAAATCGGCGCGATAACACGGCAACATTGTACACGATTCGTTCCTCGATGTACAACAAATCCCATTATCCGCCGTACTATATACCGCTACATTTTAATCGCCGACTATATAACTTATTCTCATAAATCGTCCGAATAAACGTCACTAATTGATTATGTAAATGAAGATACGTGCTATATTCTCCTATGATATTCTCGTAAGATACGTACGTATATTCTCCTATTTTAGCCTGTTTAATTATCTGCCGATAAATTACACTAAGCGATTAAATCAGACGGGGCGAAATAAAAAAATGTACATATATAATGTGTGTTAGGAATGATCATTAGTTAAACGCATTACAGAGCCGATAAATATGTTAAATGATCGAGACAACTTTGTGACTGCTCCGAGGCGTAATACTGAATCACGCGAGACATTAATATATATTTGTCGCCACGTCGTGCGCAGAAAATGTTTCCTTACGTAACTTAATCGCGTTAAGATAAATTTCCCCTTCCATCCTCGTCGATTCGTAGCCCAGACAGGCATAACTGAGGTCCTCTGTAAACGATTACCTCGCTAATTGCCTGAGCGAACGTAAGAGAATTATCTTATCGCGACAACGGCTAACCTTCGCTCGAAGGAAAAATGCGTGCGCGAAGCGGGAAACCGCGCCGGCGAGGGACCTACGCACGGAAACCGGGGAGAAAATTTTGCATTACGTAAAGCGAAATTACAGACAAGACAAGCGCTCGGCAGTCGTCGTCCGCTTGAAAATGCAAATAAGGCCGGCCGCGTATCGCGTGTAGAAGTGATTTATGGGACAACGGGAGAACTTAATACTGCAAGAAGTGTGTCACTTAGAGAGACATTTCTTAGAAGAGCGGCTGAAAGAAGCAAAGAGAAATGAACGTATGCACAGAGAGTGCGCACAGAACAACTGTGGAGTCAAGCGAGAAAACTTTCTGCTGTACACTTTCAAACACGCGTTACAAACACGTGATCGAGATATCGCGCAAACTCCAAGCTGATAGATTGACGATTCAATTCGCGAGCGAAATTGTAGGCGATTACGCCAATAATTGAACGATAATTTCAGAGAGAATTCCACGTGCGCGAATAAATGACACATGGAAACAAGCATGTTTGAGATAATGACGAGTGTCCGAATTAAAATAATTAAAACGGTAATTTCGAGGAAACTTACCTTAAAATGTCAGAGGGACGCGGCAGCAAGTTACAACGACGGTGGTGACGAAGTGAACGAGGTGTATGAGGAAGTAAAGCGTATTCATAAGACAAGCAACATGAAAGGGGAGTCGTATAAGGCGTTTATATAAGAAAAACAATTTATTTAATCAATATCCTCTTTAGCAATAATAAACATATTTTTGGTTTTACCGATTAACACGAATCGCTCGCTCATGCTCGTACAATCTCTCTCTCTCTCTCTCTCTCTCTCTCTCTCTCTCTCTCTCTCT